TATGATGATTACCGACACTGAGATTCGATAAGATAGCCACGGATATTATGGGATCTCTATTTAAAACCGAGAAAGGAAATGAATATATATTAACATTATAGGATCAGCTAACTAAATTTTGCATGGGTATACCCCTGCCAGATCAAACCGCTGAAACTGTAGCAGAAGTCTTTGTTGACAGATTTATCTGCGTATTAGAAGCACCCAAAACGATATTGACAGATTAAGGAAGAAATTTTATTAGCGAGTTAATGAAGAAAATTGCAAAGTTATTCAGGAACTGCGTACTACCATCTTCCACAATCAAATGGATCATTGAAAAGATTTCATCATGCATTAAGCGAATATTTAAAACAATACGCCAATAATCAAAAACAATGAGATAGGTGGATTGGATTAACAATATTTAATTATAACACCAGCATTCATTGGCATGAAGCCACCAAACATACTCCTTATGAACTAATATTCGGTAAAATAGAAAGAACGGCGTCAAATGAATTATTAGACCTCGAAGACAAATTGGCAAGTTATGACGAATATCTGATAAATTTAGTTACGCAGCTTCACAACATCTAAGGAAATACTCGTAAAAACGTAATAGCAGTCAAAATTAAATTCAAAGAACATTATGATAAGAAGATTAATCCGCAATTATTTAAACCAGGAGATTTTCCTATTAAAGGGGCCAAAACCAGGATAATTCGGGGATTAATATACAGGATCTTACGAAGTGTTAGAAATATTAAATCGGAATAACATAAAAATTAGAATAAAGAAAAACAGTCAAATAGTACATAGTTCTAATAAGATTGCGAATTTCTCACATAAAACTTTCAATAATTAATTCAAAATAATAATAACAAAATAAAATTTCAAATGGATTCCCAGATGAATGGACGAATTACAATAGCATTATTAATAAGTTGGACTCAAGGAACTTACGAGATAATAGGGTACGACTGCGGGTCACCAGCAAACATAACTACAATGTCGTTACTTAATATCGAAAAGTATGATATACTACCGCAAAAGATGAATAAGATCTTAAAATATATACAACCAAATTAATGAATTTAAATCCGTAAGAGTAATCCAATGTAAAGTAGAGATTGATAGAATTGTTGAAAAATGTGGAATGTTCTCTCACACATGAATGTATACAATGATAAATATTCATACATACAAGAAACATCTCGTGAGGTGTGTGAAAAAATGTACATTATGGGATATCTCCAAATAGGATACATCCATATAACCGGACTAAAATCAAATCAGACAGACTCTCGAGCAGTCACCTCACCACAAGTGAATAACGACGGATCGTATAGCGGAAGCACGTATTCCGATCCCTATGGAACATAGATCGATGTTATTGTATTAGCAACTATAACGTTATTAGATTACCATGCCATTGTACGACTAAACACTAATCAGGTAATGTTACGATCAGATGTAATTTGCGAATTTGCCTCTATCCATTATGTGGAGGGATTACTTATTAGAATGCTTTACCTGCACGAGATTTTTGTGGAATATCAAATTATGATGCACTTTACACTGGACTTGCGGAAATATTGACAGATGTACGATCTCAAATAATTTACATCTTAAATTCACAAAATATCATTTTTGCCTTAACAAAAAAGAAGATAGAAATAATGTGTGGCTATGTTTCTAGTACAAACCGAACACTCTCGAAATTATTAATTTTCGAAATCACACCCAATAATATTATAAAATTTTCAGCAAAGTATATAAACCAGAAAATCTCGACATTTTTACCTACATGAATTCTAAATTTGTGTACATGGAAAAACATATATGCACCCAAATAAGCCAGTTTACCGAAATGTACTTCAACAACAGTGTAATCTCAAATAGAAAATATTAAAAAATGCCCTAGCTCTCGCCTCTCATTCACCGGATGCTTTCGCTTACTACGTACTGCAAGGGCCTGGATATATGGCTTTATTGGCCGGAGAAGTAATACATATAGTAAAATGTGTGCCCGTTGAGATAAAACTCGCCTCAACTCAAGAATGTTATCAATTATCCGTGATAACGAAACACAGTTTCTAACATCACAAACTCACATCCTGATGCGACAAGGAATGCAAGTGACTTGTAATTCACTCGCACCTGCTATGTACCTTCTAGGAGATTCATGGTATCAGTTTACGCCTCGGCCAGTAGAAACTTTACCACCCGACGTACTCAAACCAATGACCAAACCAACTTGGAAATATATCAGCCCCGGATCACTCGCCATAAGCGATATATATTCAGATAATAACCTAGAAACCTTACGAGATCACATAATGTTTCCAGCCGAACAACAATACCGTAGCACGAGAAATGATGGGACAACCAGGATTTGTGAATGGAGATTCGTTCTCTAACTTATTAGATGAAGCATCAATAGAAAAGATAGCTGTGTCTGCCTGGGAAAAATTTTGAAACAGATTCCTAATTTTCGGAAACGTTAGCGCTGAAATAACAGGAATATATATAAGCGCAAGAATCATAAAACTAATATTAGATACAATTGTACATGGATATGCTCTGCATATCATATATGGGTAGTTAATATTCTTAATAGAAGTCATTTAGGATTCACTTACCAATCTTTTACTACACCTAGGAAAGGAGAAACGTACAAAAACATAGCTGCTTCAGCTCCCGTCGAGTCGAAATCTAAAAGAATAAAAAATTCTGAAGTACGAGATGATACGAGAACAGAATCCAACTATCCTTTCTTTCCTCCCAAAGAAGCCTCCATTTATACACTTGAGCTAAAAGAATAAATAAAGGGAATTTTCTCTGCCTATTAAACTTCTTTCCCAAATGACTTCTTCTGTCCTTCCTCTCTAAAACAAAAAAACCATCCAACCAACTTATAATTCTTTTATAGATAACAATGGAGATTACCTGCATAAACACGCGACTTCTAACACGTAGCCCATTGAAAGCACGAATAATAAAAGTGGACTCACCCACAAAATTTTGAATCCAACTCCATAATAGTCACGAAGACTTCAAGAAGTTAATAGACGAATTCACTCGTCGGATGACGCGACGTAGCCGATTCCTATCCTTACTACCAATCACACTCACCTGGACGAGATGGTTGCGATTCAAGAAAGACGAAAGTGGCAAAGGAAGATTCTCATTCAAATTTGAGGAGATGAAACAACAGTGATCGTTCTAAGAGACTAGGGGTGCATTATCGAATGACCTTGTCACGATCTTTGCATACTTAAGGATAAATTCCACGATCTAGAATGGCAGACAATTCCCTGCGCATTCGCTTACACTGGCCTTACCTGACCCTGCAAAAAGGATTTGGTCCCGACGAACAGGCAGCTGATCTAATTTCTAACGGAGCGGCGCGAAGAATGGATCAGCATCGTAGAAGATATAAACGAAGAGGCTGCGCTTGTAAAACTAGAAATAAGAAACGAATGTGGCAAAGAAATAAAAAATGTCAAGGATATTCTAATAAGTCTAGGCCATGCACAGCACAGTGAGAAAACTGTGCAGCAATTAGAAACTGTACAGCTCTTTGTTGAATCGATTATATTAAGAAGAAAAAATTCTTTTATCCACGACCGCTCAAAATATACAAACTATTATAATACATGTATTAATAGAATAACACAAAAAACCCTTTAAAAAAATATATATATATTAATAATGTTTAATTAGTATTAGCTATTGAAAACATTAAAAAAATATATACATATATAAATAATAATAATAAAGTTTAATTAGTAGGGAAAAAATACATACATATATATATATATATATATATACGTGTCGACTGACTTTGAATGTCATTTATGACTGTTCGAAAGATTTTGTTATAACTGACTGCGCTTTTCCGAAGAGTATAAATATATATATATTGGGTCATCTAAAAAGTATCCGCGGTTTTTTGATGGTCAACACATCTAGTGACAAAAAACCGCGGATACTTTTTAGATGACCCAATATATATATATTTATACTCTTCGGAAAAGCGCAGTCAGTTATAACAAAATCTTTCGAACAGTCATAAATGACATTCAAAGTCAGTCGACAAGTTTAATTATTTCAAGTGCGGGGTTCTCGACTCAGTGCAATTCAAGCAAAATCAACAGTCCACTAATAGTTGACGATCTTTTATCCCAAGTTAAGAGCCATCACTGAGATACCACTGAAACATCACCGAGGACTCTCGCTATAGTTCGCCACTACTAGCAAACTGTAAGAACAAATTCTTTTTTGTACTTTCTCGTGTTACTTTAATTTCAAAGTTATATGACAATATAATAATCAATATTCTCTCTCTCTTACTCCTCCTCGATCGTTTCTCTCTTTAACCATAGGCGCATCCTGTCTATCTTTTCTCCTAACAAATTACTTAAATGATAAAACGATTCAAGTAATTCATCTTTTTCTCTACTCCGAATTACTTAAACGGTAAAACGCTTCAAGTAATTCATCTTTTTCTCTACTCCGAATTACTTAAACGGTAAAACGCTTCAAGTAATTCATCTTTTTCTCTACTCCGAATTACTTAAACGGTAAAACGCTTCAAGTAATTCACCTTTTACTCTGCTCCGAATTACTCAAGCGGTAAAATGCTTCAAGTGATTCACTTCTTTCTCTACTAAGAATTACATAAGCGGTAAAACGCTTCAAGTAATTCTTCTTTTCCATATTCATAGTTACTTAAGCAATAAAACGTCTTAAGTAACCCACGATTACTCTCCATAGAACTCATAGAACCAAACTATAACTTCTGAAAAATCTATCTCTTTCCCCCCTTCTTTTCGGAATTATCTTCTCCTTCTACGTTCTTTTAATTATCCGTCATGAGCAATAATCAGAGAAAATTTTAATAGATGGTTTGGCGGAACAGACACAGAGCAGGACGCAAGAAACGAGCCAAATTCGAGAAACTCAGAAAAACTAACGTCCCAATTACGCGAATACAGATCAGGCAATTTATCTACCCTCAAGCCCGTCGCCAACTAAAAAGGGCTCATTTGCGCCAAAAATATCGAGATCAAGGTTCTCCCAACTCTGTGATAGATCTTACCTCCGACAAGCCAACCGATAGTTCCCCCAGCAATACACCTTCAAACCTTTCCTTAGGTTTTGAATTCCCTTCTCCCTTTTATTCTCCTACCTCCGATAATTTCCAAAACACAGAATCCTCTACTCTCTCTCACTCTCCAGTCCCTCCGGAAGACAACAGGTCCTACGATGAAATATTCCAGTCACTAGAATCCTCATCAGATCCATAAAAAGTTCCTCTCCTCTCCTTTAATACGCACGCACGCCTGCCCGCCCGCACGCACGCACGCAGGAATCTATAGTATTTTTCATTAACATCGATTTTTATAAAACAACATCCATCACACACACGGTACTTACTCTTCATGCATATATTTTTATATTATTGCAAATTTCATACATTAACATGATTATATAAGTACGCGCATACATCTGTATCTAATCTTAATTAAGAGAACTATAGAAAAATTATATATGAACATTTCTAAATGATTGCTTAAATTCTATTTCACCGCCCTTCCGATTCACTGCGTCTTGACAAAGATCGTACAGATTCTAGTCAAAAGGATTAAGCTCTTTGACCTGAAAGAGGACCGATGAATGCACAATCTCAGATTGGGTAATAGCGTCGCGTATCGACATTGACCCATATCTAAAACATAATCAAGTGCGTCCGACTTGTGATACTCGCCTCAGAGCGATAACTATTTACAAGAGCGGTGTCAGTTGCGTCCTTCCTTGGCCTCTCCCCCCCTCCTCCTAACTCCTTCTTCCAATCGAAATAAAAGAATTTTGGGGCCTGGACATAACACCAGTATTGATTGTTTCTGAAGAATTATAAAAGAAATATGTATTGTTATAGTTTCGATATTTACGATCTACGAGAAATTATAGGATACTTTTATGTTTGGAATGAAATGATAGCCTCAAGAGGATTACAGAAAATCGCATCATGTCTAATTAAGCATATAAAGTATTGTTACTAGTGTAATAAAGAGAAAATAATTATTTATAGTATACTAGACAAAATCATAATATAAAGTTAGCTTTATCTCTGTTAAAATTAGTTCAAAGTGATGATATATAACAACAAAAGTTATAGAACAGAAATTCTTAATATCGGGTTATTCGTATTTTTATCAAACGATTCAGATTTTGGATCTGTAGAATTTGCAGCATCCCATTCAACTATTTATGTTCCTAAAGATTGGTACCATTGTATGAAAACTGCTCGACATTCCAAGAAATTTATCGTTCGTGAAATAAAAACAAATAAATTCTTTTCAACTAAACAGTTAGAGCGATCTATAACAAAGTATAACAAAAACACACTATCACAAATTGTAAATTGGCTCACCATTTAGTGGTTGCATTAGTGGTTGAACGGGAAAAACAATTCGATATTTTCTATGAAACTACATTTTCTTCAGATGCTGAATTTGATACACATTAAATATTCGGTGTAGCAGACCATTACAATTGAAGAATATGAATATAGAACAAGAAAATTTATACCCATCTATGCGTCCTGTTTCTGCGGCTAAGAAGAAGCTATGTTAGATTTGCTAAAATTTATTCCTCCGATTCATTTTTTCAACAATTAAACACTAGTGAAACTGCAGTAGATGATGATGAATCCAGTAACAAATGAGTTTTTGGACACATTGACGTTAACAAGTTAACACTTAGGCGAGAACGTGTGATGTGAAATGAATTATACTTAACGTGTTAAATATAATATACTTATATCAATATATAATAAACTCATAGTGCATTGAAAATAACATTGGTTTAAGTTATGATTGACGATACATTAATTGATTTAAGTTATGATTGACGATACATATGGTGTAAGTCACTTTTTTTTCAAAGAAATTATATCACAACTCATTACAATAATTGCACTTGATTATTCATCATATTATTGTTAATTACAAAAAAAAATGCGAATTTTATTTTAAGTTATATTATCATAAATTTTTCAATTTATTTTCTTACATTCAAACAATAAAGTTACATTCTGTTTTTAATTTTTTATAAAATTATTACACAAAAATCGAAGTATAATATTAAGAAAGAAGACTTAATTCACTTATCAACTGAGGAGCTCATATTTCAATTTCATTGTATATGAAATATCTATGCATCGTTCTTTCTTTTGTGAAATTATTTTTATTAAAAAAAAGGATAATAATAATTGAAGAAAATATAAATAATTGCAAAAATAATTTTCACATTATTTTAGAAAAAATCATTTTACAAAAGAAAGAAGGTTGTATGAATATGCGGACATATTTTATATATAATTCTGTTTATGAATGTATATGTATATATGTTTATGCATATTTATGTATATTTATAAGTAATACAGCTATAAAATAATGAATATCATTTAATAGCAAAATACAGTGCAACAGCTCTTAAGAATAGTTCAATGGAATAGTAAATAATTACGGTATGATACATTAAGAAATCAACTATGATAATCATTCAATGAGATGATTTTCGACATCAAAGAAAGAAAAGTGGAAGGAAAATGCAGTAAACAGTACTAGAAGGATTTGCAGCTAAATGATCATTCTTTCGAACAATTTCTTCAAAATCTATAGGATGATCTTTTGCATCTAGAAGTTTATTACATAAATATTTTATGAATACTTTGTATACATATAATAATAATAATAATAATAATAATAATAATAATAATAATGTATCATATCCTATAATTACTTATTGCTGCATTGAACTATTCTACATTTACCAACAATTGTCGCACTGTATTTTGCTATTAAATGATATTCATTATTTTATGACTATATTACTTATATCCAGTAAAAAATGTTTCATTCACGAATATATATAAATATACAGAACATGCATAAACATACGAGGGGTATCCAGAAAATAAGTTCCGTTTGTATTATACGTTTAGGAAGGTCGATGTATGAGCGAGCTGGCAACACAGCATTGAAGAGGGGAAGCTACCGAATAGAATGAGCGGTGTTCGGCGTCAGTAGCTCGTGAAAC